CACCTACTTCCCACACAACACAAACCACTATCCACATATCCACAATGACCACCAACTCCCAGATACACCCGTCACTCCATTACACCACAACACAATACATTATGCTCTACACAAACTAACCACAAACCAAAACACTCATCGACTAACACCTCAACAAACATACTCACACACATACACACTCCATCATGACAACTAATCTCAAAATACACGATAACACCACGTGGATGGACACCACCGACCGTACATGGGGTCAATGGAATACTCAATCTCGCACTACCCAGTTTGGTCAAAGATAAACGATTACCCAGACTTCCGGAGTGTGCTCACCACCAATACTTCCATACGCCCCAACCCTCACACACACACACACACACACACTCACTCACTCACTCACTCACATATCAATGCACACATTAATACAAAATAACAACTTCATCATTCCACACTAATCAATAAACTACACTCAAAACAATCATCTCCACAACAATACAGACACTAATAAAAATAAAACAACTCTCCTTCTCCATCACTCCCCTCCCTCCCCAACACACACACACACACACAGTGAAACAGAGAGAGACAGACAAACCAACTATACCTACTCAAAACAACATCAAATACACACTCGAGAACAGAAAATCCAATGTACACCGTATACATCACGCGAAATGAAAATCGCTTCAACAGTCATCCAATTCATTTAGTCCATCAGCGAATCCCACAGAACAGTCACTGTGGGCATTAGATTATGGACATCAACATCATCGTCTTCCTCATCACAATCCCCTCCAACAATACCAAAACCAACACTACTACATCAATCACAACACAAACACAAACACACACACACACAATTCAACCAACAACACCAACTATACACAATCACTCAATCAAAACCAATCCACACGAACCTACACAACCACAATACTATACACTCTCAAAATAAATAACAACAATCGAATTAGTCCATCCACCAATACCAAAGGTCGATACAAAAACCCAACCCCATGTCTCTCTCCTCCATCGACGACTATCGCACAAACTCAAACAAAATAATCCTCATTACACCCTTCAGAAAACCAACTATCTCAATCAATCACCACCTACTTCCCACACAACACAAACCACTATCCACATATCCACAATGACCACCAACTCCCAGATACACCCGTCACTCCATTACACCACAACACAATACATTATGCTCTACACAAACTAACCACAAACCAAAACACTCATCGACTAACACCTCAACAAACATACTCACACACATACACACTCCATCATGACAACTAATCTCAAAATACACGATAACACCACGTGGATGGACACCACCGACCGTACATGGGGTCAATGGAATACTCAATCTCGCACTACCCAGTTTGGTCAAAGATAAACGATTACCCAGACTTCCGGAGTGTGCTCACCACCAATACTTCCATACGCCCCAACCCTCACACACACAGACTCTCACACACTCACTCACTCACTCACATATCAATGCACACATTAATACAAAATAACAACTTCATCATTCCACACTAATCAATAAACTACACTCAAAACAATCATCTCCACAACAATACAGACACAAATAAAAATAAAACAACTCTCCTTCTCCATCACTCCCCTCCCTCCCCAACACACACACACACACACACAGTGAAACAGAGAGAGACAGACAAACCAACTATACCTACTCAAAACAACATCAAATACACACTCGAGAACAGAAAATCCAATGTACACCGTATACATCACGCGAAATGAAAATCGCTTCAACAGTCATCCAATTCATTTAGTCCATCAGCGAATCCCACAGAACAGTCACTGTGGGCATTAGATTATGGACATCAACATCATCGTCTTCCTCATCACAATCCCCTCCAACAATACCAAAACCAACACTACTACATCAATCACAACACAAACACAAACACACACACACACACAATTCAACCAACAACACCAACTATACACAATCGCTCAATCAAAACCAATCCACACGAACCTACACAACCACAATACTATACACTCTCAAAATAAATAACAACAATCGAATTAGTCCATCCACCAATACCAAAGGTCGATACAAAAACCCAACCCCATGTCTCTCTCCTCCATCGACGACTATCGCACAAACTCAAACAAAATAATCCTCATTACACCCTTCAGAAAACCAACTATCTCAATCAATCACCACCTACTTCCCACACAACACAAACCACTATCCACATATCCACAATGACCACCAACTCCCAGATACACCCGTCACTCCATTACACCACAACACAATACATTATGCTCTACACAAACTAACCACAAACCAAAACACTCATCGACTAACACCTCAACAAACATACTCACACACATACACACTCCATCATGACAACTAATCTCAAAATACACGATAACACCACGTGGATGGACACCACCGACCGTACATGGAGTCAATGGAATACTCAATCTCGCACTACCCAGTTTGGTCAAAGATAAACGATTACCCAGACTTCCGGAATGTGCTCACCACCAATACTTCCATACGCCCCAACCCTCACACACACAGACTCTCACACACTCACTCACTCACTCACATATCAATGCACACATTAATACAAAATAACAACTTCATCATTCCACACTAATCAATAAACTACACTCAAAACAATCATCTCCACAACAATACAGACACTAATAAAAATAAAACAACTCTCCTTCTCCATCACTCCCCTCCCTCCCCAACACACACACACACACAGTGAAACAGAGAGAGACAGACAAACCAACTATACCTACTCAAAACAACATCAAATACACACTCGAGAACAGAAAATCCAATGTACACCGTATACATCACGCGAAATGAAAATCGCTTCAACAGTCATCCAATTCATTTAGTCCATCAGCGAATCCCACAGAACAGTCACTGTGGGCATTAGATTATGGACATCAACATCATCGTCTTCCTCATCACAATCCCCTCCAACAATACCAAAACCAACACTACTACATCAATCACAACACAAACACAAACACACACACACAATTCAACCAACAACACCAACTATACACAATCACTCAATCAAAACCAATCCACACGAACCTACACAACCACAATACTATACACTCTCAAAATAAATAACAACAATCGAATTAGTCCATCCACCAATACCAAAGGTCGATACAAAAACCCAACCCCATGTCTCTCTCCTCCATCGACGACTATCGCACAAACTCAAACAAAATAATCCTCATTACACCCTTCAGAAAACCAACTATCTCAATCAATCACCACCTACTTCCCACACAACACAAACCACTATCCACATATCCACAATGACCACCAACTCCCAGATACACCCGTCACTCCATTACACCACAACACAATACATTATGCTCTACACAAACTAACCACAAACCAAAACACTCATCGACTAACACCTCAACAAACATACTCACACACATACACACTCCATCATGACAAACTAAAATTGTTTGAATGAGTCTTAACACGTCTTAATAATAATAATATGGATTACACTCAATTTCCTGTTTCTTATTCGAGACACCAATGGTTATTTCAGTGTTCTCTTGCTAGAGCTGAGTTTTGAATGTTTTAATTGAATAGGCTTAAGGACACATACTGTTTTAAAAATAGTTGACTATTTATCTTCCTATATCGTAATATTCTATTTTTTAATGTCAAACTGTAAAGCATTGAAGGACATTCAGAAAACCGACAATTTCTAATCATATCAGCGAAACTTAAACTGCTTTCTGGGTATCTCTGTCTGTCTGTCTATCTCTGTCTGTTTTTGACACAGAACTTTGCACAAATGTGCGGAAGTTCAAGTCGCCACATTCCGTGTAGCACGCGAAGCAAGAGAAGAAAGTACAAGAAAAGCATAATAGAATCAGTGAGCAGAGGTGTGAGACAAAGGAGTAATAACGAAGAACAAAACAGTTTCATTGGAAATCATAAGTCACAAGGAGTGGATGCATCTGCGCTAGCCACTGAGAACGATTTTGAGCCATGTCACCAATTGTTTCCAACAATAGATTTTTACCGTCCCGAGGACCCCAGCCTGGAAGTCTACACCTTCCTACGTGGCTTAGACCAACTGTTGTGGATTTCATTGACTGGTGCAGCCAAGTTTTTGTTTGACCGCCGTTAGCTTTTTTCCAGCCTGACTCTATATCCGCTAACATTGCTCGTCGAGGGAGGCGATGACTTGGCATACGTAACACATGTCCTAACCATCTCAGTCTTTGTAGCTTCACGACTTCGTCGATTGATTTCCCCTGTTTACCTAGAACTCTACGCCTAACCTCCATGTTGCTCACCTTATTATGCCACTTTACACGGGAAATAGAGCGCAGGCACCTATGATCAAAGACAGCTAGTTTTTTCATGTCTTCCACTCTCAGTGGCCAGGTCTCACAACCATAAAGGAGGACGGAGCGGACTGACGAGCAGTACACCCGCCCTTTGGTCGATAGTCGAACATTTCGTCTGCACCAGAGTCGGCGTAAACTGGCGAATGCCAAACGAGCCCCCTGTATCCGTGCTGAGATTTCGTCAGAGATCAACCCGTAGGGGCTGATGGTACTTCCCAAATAAGTGAAGCGGTCAACGTGCTCTACCACTTCACTTCCTATTTTTAAACTAGGCGTCGATGTAGTCCAGTCCTGTATAATGAGGGTATAATGAGGAGAAAAGTAGTAACTTATGTTAAACATCCTGAATAGCAGCAACTAAGTTATTATATACATATATTCCCCGCATATATCGACTTTTTTCACAGAAAGGATAAAACATACTATACCTACTTCATAGACATAGTGTTTGTATATCGGTGGTTCAGCGGCAGAATGTTCGCCAACCATGCACGCAGTCAGGAGTTCGATCCTCGGTTGACGCACTGCTGCTAAGCTTCGCTTAGCCAGTAATAAGCCCAGTGAATAGGGAATGTTGGGTTCGGGGAGAGCGACCCCACTCCGTAAAAAAGCAAAACATCAGGGCTACTGAGATTTTAGAGCTTGGAACCTGAAGTCTTATGTTCTACTCGAAAGACAGAGAAACAGAAAAATATTTTCAATTATTCACAGTCAGAACACGCCATTTCAGCTATTTAAAAAGGAATATTTAGAAGACGAAGGTATTCAGAGTAGACATGATATATTGAAATTAAGTTACATGTTTTGGTAGAAAGTGTGATTTTAGTTTTTTATTTTTATTTCTCTTCTTTTTCACTTTTTGATCATATTGCTTATCAGACTTCCCGACGACATCTTCAGAATAATTACCCACCTTATCATGTTTCATTTTAGTAGAAGGCGAAGGAAAAGATGATACGTTTTGTTGGTTCTTTTGCTTTAGAGTGAATTTCTTGGTAATACCAAGAAATTTCAACCTCTTGGATTGGCCATTCTTACTCGCATTGTCTTACTATCTGCCGACCTGACTGCTCGTTCGGCTTGTGATAAGCTAGCGAATTCAACATACGCGACCCTTGGAAATTCAGGTATAAGAAAGGAAAGAAAAAAATAGCAATAAGATTCATGTTGAAGGAAATTCACACTAACATCAATTAATACTCGGTTTAACACTTGGATACGACGTTAGCAGAATAGGCAGTGAAGACTGAACTGTAAGTAAACATAAAGAAGCTAGAGGTGATGAAGAATAAAAGGCTTTAAGTCACCAGACAGCAGATTTTCCTAAACACACGTCTTCACTGCTTTAAAACTGAAGATTAAATGGTTGGACGGAGAGGACAACTAACAAGTAACTCTGACAGGCCGACTAGCAACCTACTGCCCAACAAATATGCAGAAGGAAATGCGGATGGATTGGAAACACGCTGAGGAGACCGTTAAATGATATCACAATCCTGGCTGTCGAGTGCAAGCCTAATGTGGAGCGTCAAGTTTGGCATTGAAAAGTGGTATAGGGGAGATAATGTGAAGAGGAAACGAAATCTTCTGGGCAATGGTAGAGTCAGCTAAGAAGGCAGTAGAGGACAGAACACAGTGGAGATGTGCTGCGGAAGCCCTATGTTCCAACTGGAACCTAATGAACGAATTATAATAATACTTGCAGAGTAATCAGTAAACCCAGAGTCAGTAACACCTGGTTCCTCCATTGCTGCACAATTCATCAAGACAGCTTGTAATGGATAAGATGGAGAATATTCAAATAACTCGTCGAAATATAGGCTGAAGCTGCGACCGAAAATTCAAACATACATACAAATCCACACTGACTGGCTGGTTTCAACGTAGAATGTGGCAACTTGAACTGCGGCGCTTTATATGCATAGTTCTATGTGGAAACTTAGTCAAGTTAAAAGATGAATACGGAATCACTTAGAAACTTGGCAATAATCAAGTACGGCAGGATTGCCAGTCTTTGTTGACTCCGTATAGGATGATCCCATTAGATTATGGACAAATAAATGGAATATTATCGTTATCATCTTGAAGCAATTATCTAGTTAATAATAATGTAACTTTCTAAAGTTTATCAAATATTATTACCTAATATGCAACTGCCCTACCACGGTGACAGTATCCTATTCGTGCACTAGCAGTGCAAAACCTTGAGAGAAAACAAAAACACAAATGATATCTACAGGACTTACCCATTTTGGGTGCCCAACTGTGTAGGTACACAGATGTTGATTGCATCTGGAAATAACTCACGGACACTTTCTTCAGATAAAGGTAGAGTACATCTGTCAATCACTATTCCTGATGAAACATTCCGTTCTACATTGGAATCTGTATGTTTCGTAACATTGGGTGTTGGATGAGAAACGCTCTGTTTATTCACAGAAACTGCGATAACTTCAACTTTGTGACCACCTATTACCACATTTTTTGCTTGTTTCTGATCCAATAAACAATCTTCCTCTAAATCATACATAAGTTGAGCTTCTCCTCGAAAGCGATTTATATTTGCTGTTGATGCTTGAGGAAATACTGCCAAAACATCATTTTCAGAAACGTTTTTGCTCAGACCTCGAACAACCAGACAGTTCTTACTTTCAAAGATTAATTGGGATATAAGACATCGACAGACTTACCTTGTTTTACTTGTTTTCATGTGAAAAAGAACTGACGTCTTCCTACCCCTCAGAGAGCATCCGTGTCGAGATTTTAAAGCATTTACTGCATCTTCCTCTGAAGCAAACGTTAAATGCGCCGTACCAGGTCTGCGTTTGTCATTATTTACAAGTATTTCTATGTTGGTAGAAGAAGGGAACCTTCTTGCGATTTCCCCTCTTTTGACGTTGTATTTTAGACCATGTAACTCAAGCATCTTGCATTCATAGTCATCTGAAAAGGTAAAGTTTTTCGCATAATATCAAGCTTACCAACACATTCTGAAATAAATTTCCCAATACTGGCTTTTAAAGCTCTATCTCCATAAGGCTGATTGTTCAGTCTTTCTTTATGCATAACAGCATCTTCTTCCGATTCAAACTCTATATATGCGAATCCATGACATCTGTGAAGATAATTTATCCAGGGTAAACGATAGGCTTTAGCTCCTGGTACTAAGGTTTCCAATTCAGTAATGGATGTTTTTGCGGGTAGACCATGAATTTTCACTGTACACTGATTTCGCAGCTCCAAAATGCTTTGTATTTCCTTAAGAAGAGACAAACTTTTGGTGTCGTTTGCTTCAACTTTGCACTCTGGGGGAGAAACTTCTGTATTAGTAGTAGTAGTACTTGTAGCTTCTACACTTTCAGAATCTGCCTTGAGAATTTTAGGTCGTTTTTTTGTTCCCCTAGAAGTGTGATCGGTCTTTCGCTTTCCAAAATTAGCATTTCCACCCTGCAAATGGAAATACTTTTTAGCAATTAAGCCTGACGAGAAATTGACAAAAATTCGATTCTTTGAATTACGATTAGCAACAATTGTATCAGATAACAATAATGCATTCAGTATGAATACTTCTAAACTAGATTCGATTTATTTCATACTAATTTGCTTATTTCATTGTATTGGATTATTCCTACTGCACATATTTTCAGTAAATTTGAGAAAAAAAGCTTGCATAATGTCTCTCTGCACACCTTGTCATATTAGATTTTAAGACTGTCATTTTATCCCATCATATTGTATTGTTGTATGTAGTTGCATATAGTGAAACAGCTGAGTTATTTTCTAGATAAATTTCATCTTATTCGAGTCAATTAATCTCCATTTTTGTAGTTTTTTGTACTCCACTACTACTTTGACCTAAAAGCCATTGCAGGGTATTAAGTAAACTAAATTATTTTGTTTAATGGGCTTCAAAGGGTCCTTTAGTAACAACAGAAAACAAGGGCCAGGCAACAGATCGTTTATTGAGGAAATCAACAAATATTCATAGATTTTCATTTACATTAATATAGATTATTGTTAGCAGAAAAACACAATCTTCTGATTGGTTGTTTCTCACAGCAAGTTCATCTTTCATCTCTCTGTGGCTGTTTCTTGAATGTCAGATCATCTACATGCTAACTGTATCCGCCTACGCAAAGTCTGCTGTGGTTGATTGTTGAATCAGTCTTTGTTCACATTTTTCTATCGACCAATATTCAGGATGTAAACATTGACGTAAATGACTGTCTACCACTTCTGGCTAGCAGCCAGCTCTCACCACACTTTTATCAACATAACTTGTTTCTAAGTGAGATTATGGATTTGAATATGACTTTTATTCCTGCTTTATTAGGAATTCTATGTAAGGTTTTCGAGGTTCTTTATCTGCATAGAAGCACTACTGGCATTTATGGATCTTGAGTTCAAAATTAATTCCCATACATTTACATGTGGAGAAATGAATTAAGATGTGGCTCATCGCCTTAAGCACTCGGTTTTCAGACTATGATTCACACGTTGCGACCCGCTCCATCTACTTCAAACTGAAAAACTGGGTAGCATCATTAGCTTTCACACAATAGGTGTGGATCTTAGCCTGGTACATGAAAAATCTGTTTTGATTAATTCAGCTTACTTATAAACACAGTATTCTAATATGCTATTACATAAAAACTGCCACCTGTAACTTGGAACATAAGAGTGTGCACCTGACAACTGAGTCATGCCATTGCGCAGTTACAAATATAATTTGGGAAATATACCTTTGTGGCTTGTTCATTGATTTCGTTAGGCATTATATGCTAACAAACACTTTGATTTCCGGAATAAATTTGTTGAAATAACGGGAGAAATTAACTTCATTTTCCAAGTACAGTTTATTTGCACTTGCAGCCTCAATTATAAATAGGAACCAGCCCGCCAGCACAAGAAATAGCTATAAGACTATTATTTAGGACACTTTATTGAATGCTAAGAGTAACACTTTTGAATGCGTTTAGTACCTATGTACATTAAGAAGTTATGATAAGTAGTACTAATTTGGTGTTAAACACACGAATTCACAAGCATACAGCCCCAAATATACTTGTCAGTTTTAACTCCTCCTCCAAAAGTGTGGTAACTTGAAAAGCTACAATTTTGTGCAAACTCATACGCTGGGACTCTAACAATCATATGGAAAAATGGCACATAGATGGGTAATTACCTGTTTACTTTCATTTAAAGAAGTAATGTAATAATGGAGAACAGCAGCCAAAATCAACGACCTCGCAAAACTAATCAGATGGCTCCTTATTAGAAATTAATCCCACTTACAAGCTACTCCATAGCTACTTAGAATTATGTTTACGATTGGCTTCGGCCTAGAATTATAGTTCGATTTGAGTTAGGTTCATATTTGGATTGAATTATGGTATATAATTTATGTCCCTGGCTACGTTTAGGGTGCACATGTAGTAGGTTTAGTGAACGTTTACCAAAATCCTTATTTAAGAGAATTTTAAGGATTGTTTTCCCCAACTAAACACCTTTTTGTAGACTTACATACTTTTGTTTTTCTACTATGAGACTTGTCACCTGGTCAGTCGCCTAGTTTGGTGACTACTCTTTATAACTACCGGGAAAACAGCAAACAATGTCTTCATAAACAAGTGGAATATGCTGAAAAACATCACATACTGACCCATTGCTGAAGTTAATTGTGAGGCTTCGAGTGGATTGTTGGAACTACAGCTTAACCTTCGGAATTCATCCGAATTCTACATCCCGTATAAGTCACATATATTTTGCGGCAATTTCATGGTGAACTCCCTCAGATTTTACACCACACGAAACATCCAGTTTTATTTTTTATCGCGTCTCCTGAGTGATACTCAGATATCTAGCTGAAAACCAATGCCATGCATGAAAACTACAGTTTCGTCTTCGACTTCACTATTAAAACTCATAATGTTTCATTTATCAAGTCATTTGGGAATATTTCTAAAGAACGTCGAGTATTACTTAAGTATTACTTAAAATTGCTAAAGAGGCAGCCAGCCTTACCACTATCTGTTCCAGTTCGCACGCTGTTACATCCATGCTCGAATCCATGTAACCTTGACTTTGAAAAGTGGCTGCGATAATCAATTTCCTATACGAAGTAATAATATGGAGTATACAATTTTAGGCAGTTAAGAATCACTTGCAAGCCCAGGAGTGGATGGATTTAATTTTAAAATTATTCTTTATTCAAGTACGTAGCCAATGAAGATTATAAAATATACGGAAGATTCTTAAAATATTTGTGGGGTTAAGTTATCTATAATATCCAAATGCTTTACTCTGTAGGGTGATTTCGGAAGTGCGTCTCTTGAATCCAATAAGACAAAATGGTAAGCAGCTTGTGTGATGCAGCGAAATTCAGATTCAGATGATAAAGAGGCTGGACTTATTCGTCACGTACTCTAGAAGTTACGTTTGGATTTTTTTTTGCCAATAATTTTTAATAAAATTGTATTATATGTTATCTAGATTGAGGGAAATTCCCACTTTTTGGCTGGTTATGTTGGTGTCCGCCTCATGTGATCGGACTGCGACACACTTTTAGCATATTGGTTGCAATGATTAGTGTTTCAGATGGAATGTATCAAAATGTCGGTGTAATGAGGGAGATAGGATAGTTAGAGGGTAATGCCATTTACACCACTCATTTACTCCATGTAGAAGCTGCATCTTTCGGCATAGTATCATTCAATGAAGACTTCATGTCTCAGGATATCAGTACAGCCTATTTTCGTGTGAAGAACAGTCTTTTTTGACAAAATAATTCTCTCAATACTTGGAAATCACCTGCAAATGTTATCAGAATCGTTGGTGGGAACCTAAGTTGTCATTTAGATGTGCTTTTCACTTATCTGTGGTTGGACAGGAATTATGGTAAGTTGAAAGGTTATCTCTAAGTGGATTTCATATATATTGGCACTGGTTGGTGCAGTGTGCTATGGGTTATGTTAATTAAATGTACAAAAATATCTCAACTATAATAATAGTGTGCCATTGTGTACTAAGCTGACTGATAGGATAACAAACGAAGGTGGTTACTAGAACTGAATCTATTCAGCTTTATCATCACTATTATGAATCTATTGTCTGTTACACAATTTCCACTGACAGTGTATACTTAATGCTACAATATTTTTGATCACCAATAGTGGAGATGAATTTCTCCTGAGATTTCCATTTACACATAGCAGTACAGATGCGATGTCAAGATTGAGTTTTCTAGGTTGCATCATATGACATTATTATCCTCATCAACACAACAGGTCTGTGTACTTTACAATAGTTGAAGTGTTTCACTATGTTGTTAGCACTGTGCATAGCTGTCTAGAGTTGAGGCATGTTCAGCTTATATTTGATGCCTATAGTCTCCTAAATGTGAAAATGTGATTTCTGTAGGATTCACAAAACCTTGTGGACTAGACATTACTGAGATTGTGGATTAACTTCTAAGTTATACACTTGCAATACTTCATTTCATGTAAAAGTGTTTAGTATGAAGTTGATCTGCAAGTAAGCTTGATGAGAGAATGACGCCTCAATAGTATGAATGTTTCGGAGATTGCCTTGAAATTTGCATATAGTCCTCAAATGCAGGAAAACATATGATGTATATTTATGTATACGGCGTCAACATAAATATCAGCTCTAGACTACAAATACATTTATCTCCCTGAGATAATACTTAGTTTTAACAGAATGATTGTATTCATATTGTATGCTAATATGTAGAATTATCTCTTGTTAACTTCATGTTATGCTAGTTCTAACATGTACTTTATTTTTTCCAGGTATACGGAGGTTGTCGAATATGAAGTCAGCGGAAACATCATTCGGTCAAACTAACTTTATTACCCTTCATCAGAATTTTCTTTTGTAAATTAATCAAATGTTTAATATACTCTTGATTACTTCTTCCTGTAGACTTCTTCAATTCCTCGCTATACAATGTGCTTTTGTAATAAGTGAATTAGGAATAATAAACGCTAAGCTTAGTTAGTGGGATGGAAATTCACTGTAGTATTATGAGAATGTTACTTTAGTCATTAGTAGGATTTCGTGTCTGTTTCTACACAATAGCACATTGTAAAAGCTAAGTGGGATTTAGCAAGTTGAATAGTAATTCTGGACTGTTGGATACTCTAAAGTCGCCTTATCTAACCAGTTGAAAGTCTGTTTACTGTTAAACGCCAAGTATGTAGTACAAGTAAATGTAGTAACTTAGGCTTGATATCTACTTCACTAATCCGTTAATATGCAGTGACATCATCAAATAGACTGTTCACTTGACGATCAGCTAAGAAACATTTTTTATTTATTTTAATATGCCGTTGAATCATAGGATGTTATCTAGTATCCATCATTTCTGTGATCAAAAACTGCGGTATTTGCATGTCTACTTTATAGATGTTAAATAACCTACGCCTGTATGCATGTAATTACCTCCAATATTTCCTATTTATTTGGTGTGTGTAAACTAAACAAGTCTTTCATAAATTCTCCCATAAATGCCAAACTTTCTAGTGTTACAAGCGTTCATAAGACCTGCTTCCTTTGTTTCAAATCAAATGAGGTATATACGAACTAAGGGAAAGTTACTCTTACTTAATCTTTAATCCTCACTCAGAGCCTTTAACGATCCCAAACAGTTCTCCTATAAACACAGTAGACGTACTTTAGATGCAGCTGCAGTCTTGCTTCACAACATTTTCTCCAGTATAGACAATGGGGCTAAATTCGCTGCACCTTCCTAGAATACACATCTGCTTTCGACTCAGTACCCAGAGATATTCTGTTAGATAAGCTTGCTGAAACTCAAACTGAGTATTGGATTGTTAGATGGCTTCATTCTTATTTATCAGGGAGAAAGCAGTACACTGTAGGTCAGGGGGAAGTCGTCCATAACCAATTGTATTTTTGTTTGATGAACTTATTGTACGAATGCATACGAAAAGAACTTGTAGTGCACATTGTACCTTTGAACTTTTGTTTAAACTGACTCACCCACGGTGATCCACGTTTTACCTTTTGACTTGTGAGTCTTCCGTACGTTCATAGGTTCGCTCTCTTGTTGTGCTCTCTTTCTGCACACTCTCCGAGCCTACCTCCAGCAACGTCTGCAGATAAGTTGTACGACTTCTTTATTTATTGAATTTTATATTTCGTTGAATAAAATATAATTCTCCCAGGTACTCTTGTCACATCAAGTCTTTTTACAACGATACAGTTCGTCAGTATTTGCGCGTCGAGTAGTGTACTGCTAAGCTTAGCAGGTCGCAAAACGGTGAAGAAGTTTGTAAGGGTGTTTAGAGTATAGGTCCACTCTAAGCCGTAGTAGAACTCTTACAAGTGGTGAGCCCGTTTTCACCGTTTTCCGCTATAGTAGCTTAACGTGTTAACGATTCTTTTTACGTACCGTTTATTTTGTTATTTTTTTTCCTTTCACGCACGGTTATAAAGATTCGATTTGTTTTCTTTGTACTTATATTGGTTTTTTTATCACCTTGTTAATATTGTGCCCTGTGTGCAAGATGGCTGACAACAGTTCTGCGTCAGAGATGGCTATAACGCTGCAACTCCCCGCCTTCTGGACACATCGTCCAGCTGCATGGTTTAATCATATAGAGGCTCAGTTTGCCATTAGACACATACACTCACAAGAGACCAAAGTAAACCACGTGATTGTGAGCCTACCCGAAAGTGTCATAGACGAGGTGGCTGACGTTCTCGCAGATCCGTCTCCGGATCGGTACGAGCGGCTCAAACAGGCGTTAATTCAACGAGTCGCACTTACTGACCAACAGAAAGTGCAGGAACTTTTCCGCGATGTTCAGTTAGGTGACCGCAAGCCCTCACAAATGTTGAGGCAGATGAAGCAGCTAGTGGCGGACTTTAAAATTGACGAGGTTTTTCTCAAACAACTTTGGCTTCAAAGATTACCTCAGGCAGTCCAGGGTATCTTAGCACCGATCTACAAGTACCCCTTACAGGAGATAGCCGAGGCAGCTGATAGAGCCGTAGAGGCCATCAATCCCAAAATTGGCATTTCCGCAACAGTAACTGCTGCTCCCGCTCAGACTAAAGATTCGTCTGATGGGGGGTCATCAAGCTTTGACGCGGTGGCCCATATAGCCAAGCTATACGAGGAGATCTGTAGTATACGACAGGAGATGAACTCCAGGAGTCGTGGACGCAGTCCCTCGAGTTCGCGTAGTAGTAGACCCTTGCCACGTGCTAGCAGCAAGCGCCGACAGTCCCGAAGTAACCAGCCTGGAGTGTGCTGGTATCATCGACGTTACGGAGCAAAAGCCCAAAAGTGCACTCGCCCGTGCACCTTCGATGTTCAACAGTCGGGAAACTAGCAAGCCAGCACGTACTGGCGACTAACGTCGCTGGCGAACCACTCTCATGTCGCCTCTTCTATGTTACCGACCGTAACACTGGGATACGCTTCCTAATTGATACCGGAGCAGAGGTCAGTGTAATCCCACCCACAGTAGAGGAGCGCAGGCGGCCAATGTCTCTTCAACTACGAGCCGCAAACGGTTCGCCAATTGCTACGTTCGGCAGGCGCTTTATAGATCTTAACATCGGTTTGCGTCGTTCACTTCGTTGGGTCTTCCTGGTGGCAGACGTTACCACAGGTATAATTGGCATGGATCTATTGCAGCACTACCAATTACTGGTAGATACAGGTAATCATAAGTTAAAAGATCCTGTCACAAACCTCTCCGTCAGCGGTATCGTCACACAAGGCCCAGCCCTCAGCCCGGTATATGCCACACCCACTAGCACTGGTCCTTATTCGCATATACTGCAGTCTTTTTCAGATTTGTTCAAACCTAGCAGCGGCCTGCCATGTGCGACTTCCAACGTCAAACACCATATTGTCACTACTGGCCCGCCAGTTTTCGCAAAGCCGAGGCGACTATCCCCAGAAAAACTAAAGGTTGTCAAAGCGGAGTTTGAGCATATGCTGGAAATGGGGATTATTAGGCCATCCAGCAGCCCGTGGTCCTCACCGTTGCACCTGGTACCTAAGAATAACGGTTTAGATTGGCGTCCTTGTGGCG